TAGAATAAAGGTTAGAATAATTAGTTAAAGAAATATTCGCCATAAGGAGAGGTTAAAATCATAAAAAAAAAAAAATATTATAAATCACCGATGATCATTCCGAGATAAATTATTTTATGAAGAGAAGTGACCTTGATTCTGGGTAGATTAGTCACCATCTGCTTAAGTCATCACCTGTGTTAAGTCATCATAGTCATCATGTACATTAGTCACTTTTAGGCCCATCTCACATGACTGACCGACCATCGATGGTCTTTCCGCACGAGGGTGTTAGTTTTCAATTCGTTTTATTATTTACGCAGGTGGATGTAAGACCTCCTACCCTCACCGATGCAGCTATGGTCAATTTGGTGTTATTCTTGTTTATAAATGACTTCTAATCTTTCTCAAGTCTATCCGTCCTGTCTACTGCCATCCCAACTGTCTGTTAGTCTGCGTGATGTTTGAATGTCAGCCCGTCTGTACTCTTTGTGTCGTCAAATCTGTCTGTCTTATCCGTTGTTGGCGTGTGTCTGCCTGTTTGTGTAATGTGAACCAGACAGTCAGCTGTCTGTCTGTCATGTTAGTTGCCATATTGTCTATTTGTGCATGTTTGAATCTGTCTATTTTTGTCAACTTCCTGTCTATTTCACTGTCTATATTCACCCTGTGTCTATTGTAGTCATCTTCTCCATGCATTTGGAAGGGAAATGCAAATGTTTATCAAATGATGCAGACAGATGTAGAGTTTATGGATTTATATATATTTGAGCGGAAGCCACAGAAGTAGCAGAAATGATCTGCTGCAATTAGGGGTATCAGTGCTGCCACTGGATAGGTGACTACTTGCATGGAAGGAGAATCTGTGTATGGTATCAGGGATGTTTGTCTGAGGAAAGAGCACTTGAACTAGGCACTCCCCAAGGGGGAGTATTGAGTCCAATGTTATTTAATGTGTTAATGAACAAGATAGCCTCACACAAATATCCCAAAGGAGTTGTAACCATCATTTATGCAGATGACATCTTATTTCAAGGAAACTCTGTAAAAAAATTTGCAGATTGCATTAAATAATTTTAGTGTTCTTTCTCAAAAGATGGGCTTAGTTATCAATGAAGAAAAAACCAAGTGTGAATGTAAAGGAAGAGGAACTGAATCCGTTTTTCTAAATGGAAAAATTGTTGAGAAAGTGTCAAAGTATAAATATTTAGGAATGTATATTGGCTTTACTTGTGAAAGTAAAGAGGCAGAAATATATCATGTCCTCACTCAATGTAGAGCAAGATTACAGCCCTTGAAGGCTCTAGCATGTTGAGGTAAAGGTGCTGGGGTACCCATACTGAGAATGATGTATATTTCTACCATCAGATCACTTATAGACTATGCAGCACCTGTCCTCTCTTGTACTGGTGAAGGAAGGCTACGGAAGCTTGAGATCGTGCAAAATGAAGCAATGAGAATAATTTTAGGGTGTCAAAAGAATGCAATGATTGAGATAATGAAAATGGAACTAAGGTTACAGAGCATTTCACAGAGGGTCAATGAAATAAATACAGTTGCAGCAGTTCGATTAATGAGAGGGAACAGTGGGGGTAAATTTGTACAAGATATAAATGATGGTTTAAAAAATAAACGCACCTTCTGCAGGCAAGGCAAGAGAGGATACATGAATGGATTAGTAAATATTATTAAAAAATGTAATCTGGCAGACTGGTGTACAGCTGTTCAGAAAAGTTGTATGAATCCACCCTGGGAAGAACGAGAAGTAGAGTTAGACGTAGTGCCTCTCACAATGAAGAAATCATTACATGAACCAGGACAGTTAAGGGCTTTATATGGGAATAAGATTAGTAATTTGCCTAAAATAAACACATTGCATGTATATTGTGACGGTTCAGTTATGTCAAGTGGCAGGGCAGGGTGCGGGATCCTTATAAGACAGTACACAGAACAAGGAAATGATGACATCAAAATTGGACTTCGGTTGAGCAGTTTTATTTCATCAACACAAGCTGAGTTATATGCAATGTTAGTAGGATTGGAAAATGTTGTAAAGAGGTATAAAGATGCATATTTTTTTGTTGATAGTAGGGCAGCTTTGGATTCTTTGAACAGTGGGAGTCCAGTCTTTGGACACATTATTGGTTCATGTAGAAAATTAGTAAATACAATAAGGAAAAATGGCCATAATGTTCAATTTGTATGGGTCCCTTCACATGTAGGCATTGGTCTTAATGAAGCAGTAGATATAATAGCAAAAAGAGCCACGGAAAAGGCCGAGATCGACATAATATGTACTAAAACCTTGAAGCAATTAAGGAGCAAATTACGGAAAATACAATCAATAGAAGATAATTTCAAAAGGAATGAAATATACGAGAAAAGTGAAACAATGAAACATTACCATCATGTTCTCATGAACACAAAATTTACATATGGGAAAGATAGGAGTAGGTGGAAAGATTCAGTGTATATGAGGTTAAGATTAGGATATAAATATTATTGGGAACTTGGAGCTGAGAGAAGTGAACAGGATAAAGAATGTAGAGTTTGTAGAACATCCAGATCCCATACCCTGCCACATTATATACTGAAATGCCCATTGCTTAATGTATATAGAAATGCCCATATAAATAATGTCCCCATGCAAATAGAGTGGATGTTTGGAAATGGGAAAATAGATGAAATATTAAAGAAATATAGAAATTTTGCATCTAGAATATAACTATGTACTATAACTAATTATATGAAATATTAGGGATTTATGTGAGTCCTGAGAGGGACATTCCTGGACTGGGGTGAGGATGACTTATGTCACTTCATCCCTTTGAGATGTATTAATGTTTTTTGTATCTCAATAAACGTATCAATCAATCAATCTCCATGCATTCCTGTTATTATCTTTTATCTCTTCTCCTTTTTCATGTACAGTCACCCACAGGAATAAGTATACACTGTAGCTGTAAGGTCACTGGTAACGTTGAAACTGCGCATCCAGACGCATGATGAAACTCAGCTCCCCCCCACCTGTTTCTCTAACTATTTTGTGTTTCCCCTTCTTTATTCTTCTATTTACTCATCTTCCTTCCTTTACTAATCCAAACAGTATTAAAAAAAAAAGTAGGCTAAGAAAAAAGTGGGGGGAGGAGGAGGGAGCCCAACGGTAACTGCAATCATGGGCTGACAGCGTACAGCGAATGAGGGTGAGCCACGTCCGTAGACTTCCATCGTTTTCCAGCATAAATAAAAGTGTTAAGTAATGGCTTCCTAAAGAAACCATCGATATGGGACCAGGTTTGTTTCACTCTACGAATTTTTTTGCGATTTTTCCACAAAGTTTGATGAAAAACGATTGTGCCGTTTCGGCTGCCCAGAACAAACACACACACACACACACACACACACACATACACACACACACACACACAAACAAACAGACAGACAGACAAACAGACACACGCCTATTCCTATAGTATATTAGATAGATGACCCAACCTTCTCACCTGGTTACAAATCTTCTTAATCACAAAATTATCCAGTTTGTACATACCATTACTCAAATTCATTTTGACAGATTCTGTATGTTTAATGAGACTGAATTCTGTAATGTTCCTACTGACAATTGAATTACAAGGTAATACTGAGGAGGCATTATCTCAGTCAGTGCAGTGCTTATTATCTCTCATATGAATAAACAGAGCATTGGATTCCTGGCCTGTCCTAACACTATATTTATGTTGTTTAAGTCTAGTAATAAGATTTTACCTGTCTGGCCTAAGTAGAACATATTACATTCCTTGCGAGGAACCTTGTAAATACAGCCGCCTGCATTGTTGGGGGAGTTCTTAATTAACATTTGTTTTACAGTGCATGAATTTTTAAATGTCACATTAACGTTCCAGGTTTATAGTTGTACAGGAATTTCAGAGAAATTTTTGTTAAATAGTAATAGTAAGAGATTCTTTTTGTCATGGGTTGGCTTAGGATCAGTTCTATAAAAAGATTTCTTAGTAATGTTAAGGCATTTGTCTATAAATGACCTAGGGTACTTAAGGTTCAAGCCAATATTATAGATATATTTATACTCCTTAGTCTGTACTCACCCCTGAAGATGTGAATTACACGAAAGTGCTCGGGAACTTCGTGTTTCCTTGTTTCCTTGTGGTTATCAGCATTTATATATATATATATATATATATATATATATATATATATATATATATATATATATATATATATATATATATATATATATATATATATATATATATATATATAATGAGCATGTGCTGCTACATTTCATAATATTTTATAGGAATTAAATACTAGGGGATATGAACACTACACAAGTAAATTGAAAACAATGTTGGACAAGATGAATTGTTGTAACTAAGTTTATATGTCGAAAATGTATACAACTTCCAGGTTTGGATTATTTTGTGAAATGTAAATGAAAACAGGAAGAATAAAATGTAGAGGTGAAAGAGTTTGAGATGGGGTTTGAACGCTTTTGGTATTTATATCATCTAACTCAATAGCTTTGGTATTTTAATTTGTTTTTAATTAATAATATCAAACCAAATATTACAGGACTTGTGTTTGATAGCAATACTCCGGCTGGCTTGCCTTTTTTTTTCGTTTAATCACTGGAATGTTAGGGAAATTAATGTTTGACAAGTAATTCTTGCACCGATAAACAAATTATCAGAAAAAATAAACGCATTGCTGGGATCAAATATCTATACTTTAGAACTAGGGAGACATACAATTTGGCATGTTATATTATTTTCGGGACTTGGCCAGAACATTCCTGAGACCTAAAATTTCTTTTGACATCAGTAATTCAACACAAAGAGTAAAAAGGAAAATCAAGTGAAACGGTATTTGGGTATTATGAGTCCCTTACTATTAGTCACGAAAAACTGATGTTCAATACATTATGAGACTGAAATCTTATATTTCAAAGGCCCGTTCCGCTGCCAACAAATGAACTACACCTCTTGCGTTATGTGTCTGCTTACTGTTGTTTAGAGACAAAGGACTGCAGATCCACAGGTGGTGTTGATCAGGCGACGAGCAAAACAATGACTCGCAACGGGAGGCAACACCAAGTCATCTAGAGCGTGTTATCCCTGCTGAAAATTGTGCTTGTTCCTGATTGGTCGTCGTCGCCAATAAAATCGAAGACGATTGGTTAGCATATAAAAGTAGTGTGACATTTGCGTGTGACTAGGCTGATACGTAATGCCTTTTTAAAAGCACACACCTGCACGTCAACCAGATTTTTACATGATAGCATACATAAAAATATTGTGTGCGTTTTTATTAATATTTTCCAGCTCCATTTCACAAAAAAAGAGTTGGGACAAGAGTTTGTTGCATTATTGTATAAGGTCTATATTGCTACGTGTTTTGTTTTCTTTTACATTTTATTTATTTTAATGCGTAATGACGGAGTAAATCTTCTCCGAAACTGTCGTACATATGCGAAATTATTCAGTTAAAGAGAAGCTACCAGCAGGGTCTACGATTAATGTTTAATCACAAATATATTATCAGGTCAATTTGAAGTATACTGTATATTGTACAGATAGGTATCACAACAATATCACAGGAGTAATACTTACTCTTTCCCGATTCGAGTGTTCATGGTAATATTTGTGAGATTTGATTTCATGTCTTTGTGAAATGAGAATCTAAGATGTTCTTTGACTGTTTTTGCTTTTAAGATAAAGTTCAATATTATAATGATTATTTTATTTTATATTCGGTTATTTTCACAAGTATCCGGTAGACTTTAAAGCTTTAATAATACAAAGCATGTTCACACTGTGTTATATCGGTACTCTGAAGGCACTAGACAATAGTACAGTATAAGCAAAGCAAATGTCGGTGTATATTCCAAGTTTGAAGTTGTTACTACCTGAAAAATATGTTGGTTTAAAGAGACCAGGAACTAATACTGGGTAATAAGCGCTGACACCCAGACATCAACATATTTACTAAATTTAAGGGTGGTAGATATAGGAGGTGCAGTAAACTTTTTTTGTGGGATTATCCCACCAGGGCACAGATCAATGACCCACAAAAAGGCCTGGAAGGGAAAATATAATAATAATAATAATAAAAATAATAATAGCAAAAATAATAATAATAATAATAATAGTAATAATAGTGATAATAATAATAATAATAATAATAATAATAATAATAATAATAATAATAATAATAATAATAATAATAATAATAATAATAATAATAATAATAATAATAATAATAATAATAATAATAATATTAATAATAATAAAGGACCCTATGTAATTAAAAAAAACATTATATAAACGATCAGTAGTGAGAAACAATATATGTATGTAGTGTTGTCAAAGTACGAGAAACAATTGAGACCTGCAATTGTGTGTAAATGAGGGAGAAAGTCATATGAGCAACCTGGGACTTGGTCACATTATTCGTGATGCCATTTGGCAGCAGGGTCTAGCATTAGACAACAGATTATGCTTCCAATATCTTCCCAGGCGACAGTACCTCCCTGTTTGAGAGCTGCTTACTATACTTACTGTACTTCCTACTACAGGTCTGTACATTGTTTTTTCTTCACAAAAACGACACTACATTAAATTAGAAGCAAACATTCGCATTGAATTAAGGGGCCCCCTCGTTGGTGGTTTTAAACTGTCTTCTTGCAAATATTTACCACTTTTATTCATAACGTAAATTTGGGAAGTGAAAGACACGGAGGAAACTACAGTTGCTGGGATATCACGGAGTGAAAGCCAAAGCTAAAGTTGCTCATGGCCTCCCTTAAATAGTAAATGATATCTTTTAACTTTACTCCAACTAATATTGACAGGCGTTTTATAAAATTATTAAAATAGCTATACTCCCTTTATGCTTAAATCATATATTTAGTTCGAAACTTTATTATTTTATTTAGTTTTCTTGTTGAAGACCTTGCTAAGAATTTCAATGGCAAAGATGAAAAAAGATAAATAAAGGCCCAGGAGGAGAAGTATTAAAGGTCCTTGCATGTGGACGAGTTTCAGTGCCTGATTCTTCTTGTCGTCATCGACCTGTGCGGTGGTCACCTTCTGGCCTTGCTTCTGGTGTTCCTGTAGTCTCCTATGAGTTTCTTGCTTAGTTCTAAGAATCACGTCTTCCATCCATTTTCCGTACAGTCCAGCCTAGAACAGACAACTTTGGAAATAAATTGAGTTATTTTCTGACAAATATTATCATACTAATAATAATAATAATACTAATAATAATATTAATAATAATAATAATAATAATAATAATAATAATAATAATAATAATAATAATAATAATAATAAAATTTCTAACGTTTTCTTTGTCAATACATTTACTGCATACAGTGAGTTCCTACAACCTATTCCTTTGAGCCCCAGTCGGGCATGAAGACTAAATGAGATACAAAACTATTTATACAGTAAATGAATAAATTCCCACTAATGGGCATGAACACCTTAGTTGTAATTCAAACTGCGTCAAAGTTTAACCATGGTGTTTTCCAGGTTCCTTGGGTCATCAACAGTCGATCTCGAAGGGAGCAAAACAAATCCCTTAGCGTTCCCCGTGGACCCACCCTGGTGCCCCAAGAGGCCCCAGGAGAAAGAACCAGTCATAACGTTCTTATTGTTTGTCCGATTTGGATATGTGAGCCTCTATGGAAAGGTCTTAGAAATACGGATGTAATATTAATAAAAAAAAATTTCCTAACGTGGCTGCCGTGTTGACGTTTAAGCTACTGAACTAAACTTTGAAGAGTACTGGAGGAGTGATTGGAATGATCCATGAACCACTGTCTGTCGTAAAATGGCCCATTTCTGGATCATTGGTAAACCAGTTGCTCCAGTACTTCGGGGAAAATTACAGAAAAAAAAAATCCTACTTTTTCATCATGATGATGGAAACAAGTGACAGACCGACTTCCTCACTTTTGTCCAAAGTCTTGTTGTCGTCATTCGAAGCCGAGGAACTCCTTTCCTACAATATGGAGATGATCTAGTGAACTTGGATGGAAAAATCAGTACCGACAAGGACTCAGTCTGGATCTCTGTAAAGTAAGGATGAGAGCAGTACGATGCTTTATGAAAGACGTCATCATCGTGAAGATATCATGTGGGGACTCCGTCACGAAGAACTCTTCTTCTTTTTCAAATCCACAACTCGAGCATGACACAAGGCTTCCAACTTAGTCTTCAGCCAAATGTACAGTATCTAAAAAAAGTATCTGTCCACATTCTGTGTGAAACAGTATGATACCACTGCCAGGGCGAGTAGCAAAAGTGAGGCTTCGTTGGTTTGGTGGTGGTTCATTTGGGTTTAGTTTGTGTTCGGGTTAGGTTCGAGTTGGTCGCTGAGTTTAGTTGAGAGGTATGTGAGGGTTGCTGCCACGAGTCATGCAGGGAGAGTGTTCCCGCTGTATGGCAACGTTACTAAAGAGGCATGTCTCCAGTGTGGTATTTAAGTTGTGGACATAGTATTATTTCGAATCAAAAGGACATGGTGGTTGTTGCTAGGTATTATGTAGGGCTGACTGGGAGCTGTCTCTCGTCGTGTTGTGTTAATGGTATAAACCCAGTGTCATCCCAACAATTGTTAATCAATTCCGCAGTTACTAGTGACATTCAAGAGTGAGAAGAGCGGATACAAGACGTCAGTCTATGAACTAAGATTCCTACGTGTGCAAATAGAACAGCTCCAACTAACGAACAAACCAAACGGTAGTTTAGGTCTCATTGTCGGGTAAAAATTACTTGTTTGTGTACATATTTTTTTTTTTTATTATATACATGTATGTTGCAATTTTGTTTGGTTTTATAGTAAATTAATGTTTAATTTCTTTGGTCGTATGTAGTGTGTGCTACACACTCAATAACACACGTACATTCACGGATGATATATATTGTGACATGCATTTACTTTGGTATATAGTTTAACAAAAGTAATCTAATGTGCATTTATTTCTGTGTTAATAATATGATGTTCGGTTACCAAGTGTATTAGAATAAGTATACCACAGAGCTACGCATACCAATCCTCCTGGAACATCACGAGTTGCATGTAGCTTTTTAGAATCATCTGATCATCCTGTCAGATACTTTTTAGAGATAATGTACATTGCAACAGGTATGCATGTAGGTGATCTCGATTAATTCTTCTCCCATGAGGTTCATGCTTTAACCCGTCCATGGCTGAGAGTGAAGAAGTAATGTATCTTTAGAAAAAGTCGGATAAAATTGACTGTCTCGAGAAGGAGAACAGCGAATCTTGGGATTATTTAAAATTTGCAGTGAACCAGTCCACGGAAAATGATTACCTTGTTGATGATGATAGAGTACTCATCCACACATTGGTTCCTCTCGGTGGAGTTTAAACCTTCGAAGACTACAAAGAATTGTGTTTCATGAAGCATATTAAAACTAAGCTAAGGAAGGTCTCCAGTCTGCACATTGTTTTTGACACGTATAGAGAAGAACAAGTAATCACCGGCACGTTCGTGCCCTTGTGAGAGTTTGAACGCTCGTGACAGCTTACAGCGAATGAGGGTGTGTCAAGTCCGTAGATTTGCATGGTTAATTAGGGTGCGCCAAGTCAGTAGATTTGCATCGTTTTCCATCTAAAATAAAATTGTTAACTAATGCTCTTCTGAGGAAATCATCGACATGGGACCAGGTTTGTTCCACTCTACGATTTTTTTGCGATTTTTCCACCAAGTTTGATGAAAAACGATTGTGCCGTTTCGGCTGCCCAGAGCAGACACACACACACACACACACGCCTTGTCCTATAGTATATTAGACAAGTGATCGTGGGTACTTCGTGCCCGGTGGCGAGTCCGATGGTACAGTTTACCGAGGATGTTATAATCATGGTCGTGGTTGTTATAATCATGGTTCGTGATTGTTATAATATGGTCGTGGTTGTTATAATCATGGTCGTGGTTGTTACAATCAGTGTCGTGGTTGTTATAATCATGGTCGTGGTTATGATCATGGTCGTAGATGTTATAATCATCGTCGTGGTTGTTATAATCATAGTCAT